AATCGTTCAAATCGTTCAAATCGTTCAAATCGCGCTTGAGGCGCCGCAGAACTTCCCGACGCTGCTTGAAGCGCGTCCACCATAGACTTTGTATGTAAACCTGCTGCTCCTGATGCTGAAATCGCGTTCGGTGTGAACGCACCATTAGCGGCCCAGCCCGCAGAAAACACAGATCGCCGCACCGTTCTGTTCGATTAACAAGATGGAAAGCAAAAAAAGATTTTGCGCACCAGTTTCCTGCGCCCAGACTGTACGTCGATTACATAGGCCCGCACCGCACTGCTAGCAGACAACAGCCGCTTCCTACTCGACATTCAGTCAAATATCGGGGTCACCAAAACTGTAAGAAAATGCGTGTTCAAAGACTGAAGTCAATATGAAAACCACCACGGTTAAATAAAATGATTTGTAGAAGGAATAAAACCATACAACACCAAAATTCTGGAACCGAGTGAGGTTTTTATTGCCACCGGGCTGACAAGGAAACCACACTCCCCGAAAACCAGGAAGTTCATCCATTTATACATGGTCTTCAATGCCCGCTTTCGCCCCCTACTGACCTACGGCTGAATCGCAGGCATTCAGACAAAATTCTCACCTACTGTTATTATAACGGTTGATTATGTGTTGTTATATTCTTCGGACATGTAATTAATCTATATAAATCAACACATAATAGATTAAACATTGTCAACATTATAAACAGGAAAACCTAAAAAATATAGTGTTGTGTTTTTAACATCAGTACTAACCTGTAATAACTATAAATTACTTCAGACATACTGGTCCGAACTGGGTGGCTGCACTTCCACTTACTTTAATGATGTTTTGTTTTTTGTACTCTGTTGCTGACTTTTGCAAAAGCCCTTATTTTAAGATGGGTTGGAGTGGTGATGCCTGATAACCAAGCGCAACTGTCATTATTGGATGGAAATGTGAGTGATGAGGAAATGATTCACATACAGAGTGATGATGTTATGGAAATGTACCCATTTTAAGTATTTTGTTTGGTCTGGTTACACTTCCCAATAGGTCTGTGTGTGGACACTGTAAAGGGAATGTGTGTGGGACGTGTGCCAATTTTTGTTTGATTCAGTTTTCTCATGTTTTTGTAATCTAGGGAGGTAAGATGGATGTAATTTGTTTGTTTTGTTTTGAAGGACAGGACAGCAGTTACTCAGAAAGTTGGAGTCTTTTTGTTTGTTGTTTTGGCTGAGCCCAGTCCGAAGCTAATTGCTGCTGTTTTCCCCTTATTACTTCAGTGTTTATTCTGGCCATAAGTAACTATTAAGGCACCACATACAGTACAATGTTTTTCTTTTCTCTTTCTTTACTGATTTGATTATTGACATATATTGTTTGCCTATATAGTTTTCTTTTTTCTTCCCAGATATATCTTTTATTATTAATTTTGCTTAATTTTGTTTATTCATTTGATTTGACTCAGTCCTTTATTATTTGACTGAGGGACGTTTAAGTGTCACAGCTCTGAGGATTTTTTTCTTTCTTTCTTTTATTTTTTTCTTCTGTTGACTAAAGAAGAGGGATGACGTTAATACCTTATATAAATGGTTACATACCTCACAGAACATTACCACTTGTACAATTGAGTCATGCTGTTACTCATCACCACTGTATAAACATAATGATAAAGTTCATTTTCCATGCATGGTATTGACACGTCATTTTCTTGCAGGATACTGGTGTGGTGTTTTCTGTTTTTTTCCAGGAGGATACCAAGCTGATTCTGTTACATGGATTTGGACTCAAATTCTTGGACAGGACTCATGAATCTGTACAGGATCGACAGTATAAAGGACTTGGACTCTGATCGTGATTGCTCAAACCTTTTTTGCCACAGAAAAGGACTGAATCCAGACACCATGGGTGACAGAAAACGAAAACTAACATTGTTAAGAACTCTTATACTCTTCTTTATGTGTTTATCATTTTGTTTTTTATTCTTTATATTATATTATTTGATGTGACAATCATTTCCTATGTGTTACTTATTATTTTGACTGTCATATTGTGATCATCTCATTTAATGAGCTGAGTCTCATGGGAATATCTAACTCACTTTGTGTTAATGCATGACTCATGTTACATTTATCCTTATAGGTAACAAAGCGGGACGATATTGGCATTGACAAGTCCCTAAAATTAGTTTATGGTAACTGTTAGGTTCAAATGGAGATTTCCTTCACAGATTGGCACGGAGTGAGGATTTCTCTGGGACCTGCGGTCTTTTCCCCACCCCTGTTTCATGGGGAGGTTTTTCTGATCGTAATGGGTCATTTTAGGTGGATTTCAACGAGTCAACCTTCAGGTCCCCTGCAGTGACACAGATTTTTAAATGAGTATGCATGGATTATTTGTCCATGTCAGTCATGGAGGTGTTTACAGTCAGGAGGCCTGGGGGTGTGGCTGATGTAGCCGAATTTGACMTTATYAGAAAATTAGGCTTAGTTTACCTACTTTTAAAGTAATTTAAAATAATGTGCGCTTAGGACATAAAATAGGTTACTAGCTAAATTAGACAACCTCTAAATTGTAGACTAAAACGTTTACTTATTTGCTAATGGACAAATGATAATACAAAATACAATTGAACAGCAAAGTTTTTGTGATGCAGTAGCTAAGGTGTTACCTTTTTCTCAGTTTACAGCCAATCCTTTGTTTTTTTAGGGACTAAATTTTTTCCGAAGGTGGGATTATGAAGTGTCTAAAAGTGGAGGCCTCTTCTCAGTAATGGACAGATGTACTACGTCTCTCTTAGACCCCAGCTTCAGAACTCGGCACATGTTACCATATTAGGAAAGGAATGCTTAAGATATACCGTGACAAAATGTATGGTGCATCTGTTGAGACTGCATAAAAAAGTTTGTATGCCCCTGCTCTTCGCCTTCATCTTTTTTCCTGTTGATTCATTTGGCTTAGAAGACCACGATTTGGTTTTTAGCTATAAATCTCCTGGACTGCAAAATAAATATTCTTGCTGTTCAACCAGCCTGTTTCAGAGTTTCTCTCTTCAGGAACAACAACACAGTTTGCAGAGCCGAGAAGACCTGGTTTTTACACCTCAACTCTCTCACTGGATTGTAGAGGCCATCTTGCTAGCATACAGCAGCAAAAACCTTCCAATCCCTCTTGGAGTTAAAGCTCACTCCACAAGGTGTAGGTGTAGCGACATCTTGGGCCCTTTTTAAAGGGGTACCTGTGAGTGACATTTGTGCCTCGGCCAGCTGTGCCTCACCAAACACATTTGCACGATTTTACAGCCTGGATGTAACAGCACCTTCGGTGGCTCATTCTGTACATTCTGCCGGGTCCAAAGCTCTGCATTAGTACAGGACTTACTCAGGCACACTACTTAACTCAGGTCTGATACTGCTCTGTGGGGTGTTTTGACAAGTCCCATATACAACTGTGTGTTGTACTGAGTGAAATGACTGAAAAGGAACGTAAGGTTAAGAATATAACCACGGTTCCTTGAAGAAATGGAACGAAGTACAACACGTTGTTGGCCCCGCTTCACAAAAGGCTCTGTGAAGGGCGGTATCTAACTGAGTAATGACGCTGGTGACTCCGAACTTATAGGGTGAAGGCGGAGCCTGTCACCCGACATTCAACGTCACCACGTCACCGGTCTAAAGACGTGATTAGAGGTGGCTTCAGCCAGGCGGACGAGGGCGCGCGTGTCCCATATACAACTGTGTTGTACTTCATTCCATTCCTTCAAGGAACCATGGTTATATTCATTACACTCCAATAAATTGTTTCAAACTCAATCCAAAGATTTATCTGAGTTGACACAATGACCCTCCAACATCTACAGGCAAATGTAATTGATAACACTGAACATGTTCAACTGTTCAGTAAAACACATTTACTGTAAACAAATTATTACTTAGCACACAAAATGTTAGTGACGTGGCAGCATATTAATAAGCCATATAAATTAATTTAATGGCATGAACAAAGAAAATGACAGCACTATACACATCAAGATTTTAGTCAAATATGATAACACAATGTGCAAAATGAATCAAGATAAATAAAAAATGACGTGACCTACAGCTGCTGCTGATAAGAACACAAATTATGCAATACAAGTCAAATATTTAAAAATTATTATTATTGAAACTCTATGATTTGGTTGATTATAATATTTTACAGGTTATGTATAGGGCTCACAAAAACACATCATCCAATTAAATTTAGGTTAAAAAAGAGCTGTTTGTGAAACCTAAATTTAGAACCAGACTGAAGGAACAGTGTTCTACCGTCAAAGGTAACAGGTGATGTCGTTTTTCTTTCTTTTTACAAAATAACATAACATGATTAATACATAATTTAACTAGGTGTTAGAGGAGGGCATGTGCAAAATAAATAAATAAAAAAAGAAACATTGACCAAAAGGGCACATCAAGGCAAAGGGTAACCCCCCTCCCCCACGTGCCTGGGCTCTGGACACATTTTATTAGTGAGAAAATCAGTCCTGTAATTATATATTATACATAATTATCAATTATATATGTGCATATGCTTTTCAGTGTAATAAAGTTATATAATTAGTAATTAGTTTAGTTTTTTGTTTATAAAGTTTATTTATTTTTTTAGTCTCTGTCACAGTTGTCTTCAGCTAAATTAAACTTAATATAAGGAACTGAACTGGTCAGGCTGTCAGAAACTGTGTCAATAATAAGAGCAATGTTTCTCTGTTTAACAGGTCTGAATGGCCCATTTTAATCACATGATCTTTTTTTTCTTCCTGGCGAAACTGTTATGTAAGTGTTTCAGGGATTGTTTTACAAAGTGGGTGCAGCAGAACTGGAGCGAAGCCTCTCAGTCTTTAGTTCTTACTCTGTAAAAGGTCCATAGCCCAGTCCCCTCATGTCCCGGTACTCTGTCCACACCGTCATGTCTCCTCTGCTGGGGAACTTCTCATCCTTCCTCAGGAGCTCCTCCATGAGCTCAGGGGTGTTGACTGAAACTGACTTGAATATCGATTTGTATATGGGCCCATACAGCTGCTTTTCATAGATCTGATGGAAGTTAAAAAGCAGAAATAAACTTGGTTCACTTGGTTGTGATTAATTAAAAAAATACATTTCACCTCAACAAGCAGTTTTGTGGTTGCTTTGGAAACAAAAAATAGCTTATATCTTATGTGCAATGATAGGAGGTACATTGCTGTCATAAAACAACAGCTAAACAACCAAACCTGTCCACAGGTTGTCAGAGCTGCAGATCTTTAAGGATAAACAGATATTTCTGGTGCAAATTTTAAAAAAAGTTTCCTTCAAGCTCAGACGCAGCTGAGACTCACCTGTAACTCACCTGTAACTCATGCAGTCGGTTGTGGAAGCGCTGAAATATCATCCTGTACAGAATTTCCCAGTTGCTGACCCGTGGGAGGTCCTCCGAAGTCCGAGGTTTCTCCTGGACAGCTTGGAGGGCCCCCGGGGCAGAGGTGGTCCTTCCCACGCCCCTGGATGTAGGGCACAGCCAGCTGCCACCGCTCAGCAGTGCTCTCTGGCAGCGCCAAGCAGCCATCGCAAGAGCAGGATACAAAATGCAGGACTCCTGTTACAACCAGGAGAGCAGCTGGAGGGGGAGGGGCCACGTCTCAGATAACCACGTACCCATGGAGGCGTTTATGAGGCCTGAGCTTTATGTAACACCCTGCTCTCTGAGAGTGGTTCCATTATCCTCATCAGATGAAAAAAATCTTTTCACTGAAAATATCTAAATCCACACCAGGAATCCCCCAGATGAAGTGTTTTGATCAACAGAGCTTCCTGTTGTTATCTGAGTCTGGATCAGTAAATGGAGAAGGTTCTTCTGGTCTCTTGTGAAATCTTTATGGCAGGGTTTAAATACCAGAAGTTATAACAGCAATAAGCAGCAGTTCAGGAGCTAAAAGTAGCTGAAGGTTTTCAGTTTGGCTGTTTAATCAGCGATAAGAAGGTTTAAAAACCATAAACATTTTCAAGGATCCAATTTAAATGAAAAGTTTTCAGGAATTATATGAAAACAACAAACACCAAGTGTGTTTTTTAAAAAACAAATGTCTTTTTATTCAATAGTCCATTCTGTCATCCTTGCATGTGAGTCACGTCCACAGATCCTGCAGAGTCCGTTTTGTGCAGCAAGAAGTGTCCAATGGAAGAGATGAAGGCCACGGATGTTAAGACTCGGAAGCTACTAACCATGCATG